AGCAGTCTGTGTGTCTGTGTGAATGTATGGGCTCAGCAGTCTCTGTGTGTGTGTATGGACTCAGCAGTCTGTGTGTTTGTGTGTGTGTATATGGACTCAGCAGTCTGTGTGTGTGTGTATTTGTGTGTGTGGACTCAGCAGTCTGTGTGTGTGTGTGTGTGTGTGTATGGACTCAGCAGTCTGTATGTGTGTATGGACTCAGCAGGCTGTGTGTACGTGTATAAATCAGCCTGTGTGCATTTAGCAACGCCTGTGTGCATTCAGGAGTCTGTATGCATTCAGAAATCTGTGTGTGTGTATGTGTGTGTATATATTCAGCAGTGTCTCGGTGTTCGTATTCAGTGTACTGTGTGTATGTACTCAGCAGTCTATCAATAATTAAAATTTTTATTCCTGTGAGTTATTGTGTAGGAAGGGCCCCAGTGCACTGCTTTGCCCAGGGGCCCTTAATGCTGTTAAGATGGTACTGCTTGTGTGTGTCAGTGAGCTTCTATTTAGTGAGCATGTGTGTGTCAGTGAGCTTCTATTTAGTGAGCATGTGTGTGTCAGTGAGCTTGTCTTTAGTGAGCTTGTGTGTGTGTCCCTGAACTTCTTTGTAGTGAGCCTTCTGTTTATACAAGTGAGTCTGTAGTAAGCTTGTGTGTGAGTCAGAGAGTTTTGTCTGTCAGTAAGCCTATTTGCACATGTCAGTGAGCTTGTGTGCTTACTGTACAATATATATATATATATATATATATATATATATATTGAGTTGTAGGAATGGCATACATTTTTTTCCAGGGGTGCTTTGGATTCTCAGTTTGGCTCTGCCAGCGAGTACGCTTTACCGCTGAATCATCTGTGTGAGCTGCCGCACACTTTAGCCCTGTTACACGCGTCTGGGAGCTGCTGTTGACAGGTACTAGTAGTCTAGAGATTGGGACATGGGGTATATGCTCAGCTAACTGTATAATACTATAGTGCTGTTCTCTGTATAATACAGGTCTGTGTGTGTATCATATCCCGGGATAGTCAGTGCTTCCTGTATAGTGCTGCTCTTTGTATAATACAGGTCTGTGTCTGTATAATATCGCGGGACAGTCAGTGTTCCCTGTATAGTGCTGCTCTCTGTCTTGGAATATTATACACAAATACAAACTGTATTATACAGAGAGCAGCACTATACAGGGAGCACTGACTGTCCTGGGATATTAGACACACAGCCATGTATTATACAGAGAGCAGCACTATACAGGGAGCACTGACTGTCCCAATTTATTATACACACAACCCTGTATTATACAGAGAGCACTGACTGTCCAGGGATATTATACACAGACAGTAACTGATAGCTGTGCTGCAAAATGTCCTTGGAATTTTTTTTCAAATGTTGGCAACTATGGCACTGTATCAAGGGAAATGTGTTTGTTTTTTAATAATCCCTGGTGGAAAATAATTAATCCTCCACCAGGGATTATTAAAAAAAAAAAAACATATTGCGTCGGGGGCAGGGCTTTACATGCGGCAGGGGCGGGGTCAAACTGTGGCGAGGGCGGGGTTAAATGTGCCCCCTACTTTTGTCCTTGGCCCACCATGTGGCCCCCCTAAAAATGAATCCTAGAGACACCACTGAGTAGATGTGGATCATATCAGGTCCTGGTTGTAATTAACATAATGAGTAGATTTTATTATGTTTTTCTAGAGGGCACTTTTATATATTTTTGTGCTTTTTAGGCCCAATAAAGGATCTAATTCTAATTCTACGGGGTGAATTTAAATTAGTTCATAGGCTTTTTATTTTTTTGCTAAATCTGCTAAAACCAGAGTCTGTTTTTTTAAATCCCAATGTGTGGGGACAGGGGTGGGGGTACAATTAGAGAATTCCATGCTGATGTTTGCCACCAAATATCACCATATGCCCCCCTTCCCTCCTATTCACAGCATCATAAATCACCACCACATGTTTCTTACACCCATTTAACGCTGGTTCTGAGTATTTTACAGTATTTTATTTTGAGACACAAATAAATATCATTTATTCTCAAATTATTATTCTTGTTGAATTTTGCATTGCATCTGCTAATTTCTACTGTTCAATAAAATCCTATACCTGATAGGAATTAAGAACCCTTCCAGTCGAACTTATTGTACAGACAAACCTAGAGGCTATCTATTTCAGAAAGATAAAAAGACAGTCCTGTCCAATTGAGTACTAGTATCCGTAAAGAGCATAATTGTGTTCTGTTTCACTATTAATTCTCTTGCCTTCATTGACCCTCTAGCAGTGAACAAAATTAAGAGAGCAATTCATTCCTAAATGTCTTATTGAAAAAAAAGCTAGAAAGCAATAGCCATTTTACCCTCTTTGAAACTCATTTCCGTGTTTCTTATCACATTAATAGTGAGGCTTGGTATTTAACCAAGTACAATAGCTAAGCATGCCCCCAGAGCAGGTACTATCAAGTCATTATTATAGCATGTAAAAGACTCTTGATGCCTGTTACATATATTTGGGTCAATTACACAATTTACTTTCTCATTTGCACAGATTGCAAAGCAGAAACAGATTACATGAAAGGACTAAAATAAAAATAAAAAATGTCAGGCACTAGGCAAGATAGATCAGAAAATTATATCCCAGAATAATTATATTGTATTATCTTAAGAGCCCCATTAAAGGGTTATTCCAGCCAAAAACAGTGTTTGAATAAAACACTACCAGGGTTATTTAATAAAGTGAGAATTGTCAGGAATCCAAAGTGAATTCAAAATGAATTTAACATTCAATGCCAAAATAGCTGAACTGGAAAACAAAATGCCACGTTGGGTATTCTTCTAGTTCGACTCTTTTGGTCTAGAAATGTAAAATTTACATTAAATACCAGACAGTTTGCACATCAGTGTTGGTTGTTTTTTTGGATGACGTAAGACAGCAAGCCATGCTGGCATGGAACCCCCCAACCACCTGTAAAAAAATAAAACAATAAAAGATAGAAAGAAAGGAAAAACTGACCATAAATCCCATGCCGAGATCAAGGATCCTCCTCTGATGACATCACTGCCTCTTACTGGAGGGGTGCAGAGATGTTCTGGCAGATTGAGCTGCAGGTGTGGGGTGAGAGGGTGCAGGAACAATTTTGAATGTTTTGCCAGCATGCTATGTGTGCTGAAAATACATACCCTCTATGCACAGAATTTAGATTAGACAGCTTGCTAATGACACTGCCAGAGACAGAGCTACACCTGCAGCACCACTGTGCTTTTTATTGCACGGACTTTAAACATCATGACCACCTCAAATCACTGAAGTGATCATGGTGCTTCAAGTAACCCTTTAACCCCTTCACATCAGCACTCATGTATACAAGTTTGCCATAGTATGCATTCATAACCTGCAATTGTGTATGCAGGATTTGCATAATTGCAAATTAAATTTGTTTATTGCAAACACATTTAATTTGCAATATATGCCAACAGCAACTTCTGAAAGTCACAGCTCAGCAGCACTAGCAGCCATTTCGCCGTGAATTTCATTCACACAGCTGAATACAAAAAACTAAAGGGACACTATAGTCACCGAGACCACTTCATGTCATTGAGGCCACTTCATCCCAGTCCCACTTAGTCCTGCAATGTTAATCATTGCAGTTTTTGTGAAACTGCAATAATTATATTGCAGGACGAAGACTGCCACTCACACTGCCACTAGAGGCAATTCCTGGTGGCTAACTTACTTCTGGTCACCTAACTGATGCTGGACTGCCTCACACTCTGCATGAGGACATCCAGTGTTAGTAAAATCCCCATAGGATTCCTACAGGGAGGGCCAAATGTGCTTGCGACACTCGCCACACATGCGCATTAGCCACACTGTTAGGTGACGTTGCAGGAGGTGTAGTGCCAACCCAGCACTAAGGGAGATTGGCACTGGAATCGGGTGTGTATACAACAGGTCTTTAAACCCTTAATGAGCCAGGGGGCATGAGGGACTGGGAATCATATGGCTCTATAGTTTGAGAAATACAGCTTTGTATTCCTTACACTATAGAATCCCTTAACTATGTGTGTCAGCTCTCTCAGTGTAGCTTCAGCATTTTATGGGGAGGAGTGACTGGAGGACTGTCCAGGGAGAGTGACTGGGGAAGAGCACTGCAGTTCCATCTCCCCTGCCTGCCTTTACTACAAGGAGCACAGAGGGGAATGTAACATGATATTACACCCTGCTCCCTGTGAAACACAGCAGGAAGCAGCCAGGCAGACACTGCAGAGGCAGAGGCAGAGCCACTCTCACACAGAGCAATTGGAGAATGGCCTTAGAATAGCCGGACTAGTGTAGGAAAGGACAGAGAATAGTCAGGGACAAGCCGAGGTCAAGGGAGACAGAAAACAGGTAAGCGAATAAACAAGCCAAGTCAAAGGGAAGGAGACAACAGAATAGTCAAAACCTGAGCCAAGTCAAATACTAAAAAAAACAAACCAGAGTATGCACTATGGGGAACAATCAAACTTGAACCACAACAGGGCAATGATTCCATACAAATGAGTCATTTTTATAGTTTTGCTCTTTAAGTGATGACCAAGCCCCCAAAATGTCTT